CCCTCCTCCTGCCCGGGAGGTGGACGGTGGCCCTGCATACACAGACAGGCAGATCCTGGATGTCCGCCCTAGGGTCCGGGGTTTCCAATATCTGGTAGACTGGGAGGGTTATGGTCCGGAGGAGCGGTCCTGGATTCCCCGCTCCTTTATTTTAGATCCTGCCCTTCTCACCTCCTTCTATCAAGCACATCCGGACAAACCTGGGGGGCCCCGGTGAGTGAATCCCAGCGTCCGCAGCCCGGCCTCCTCATCATCCCATCACTGACTGTATGTTTTCCATGTCTGTTGCTCGACACCTGGTTCTGCTCTGTATTCCTTCACCTGGTTGTACACATATTTGTTATTATCACTGTAAATAAATTGAGCACTTCTTGCACCGAAGTCAGCTACCTGGGTCCATCATTTTTTACTCGCTCACCTTCCTACCAGAGCGATCATAACAGTTTCGGTTCTATTCAGGATAAATTGTTTGTATATGTTACTCCATTCTGTTCACAAACATCCTGATGTACTGAGTGTGGAGAGAAATAGTGGGTGCATGGTCCCATTCTCACATGACTTTCTTGGATTGTGAGGGTTACTGTAAATCAGATATGTGAAGCAATTCCCGTGATGAAAATAATACTTTACATACAGTGTGTTCATGCTGTGCTACCCACAGGTTTTATGATTTCTGATTGATATTTCAGACACACAAACTCACAAAGATGACAGAGAGTGATCACCATCATTACTTTTATTAGGTCCCCTTCCCTTAAATCAAGTGACAAAGTACTTACTGAAACTCTCCATCTGCTATTTCAGAGACTGAAACTAAAACATAGCAACTCACGAGGTCACACACCCATGTTATGAAACAGTCACCTTTGCAAAGTGACTGGCTTTTAATTGGGACATGAGAGGACAGAGTATCACCCTGGTGCCTGACTGGGGCTGCAAGCACGTTTTCAAACGGATGTTGACTCTGTCATTTGCACCCTGCATGTTTTTCTTTTGTCCAAAATCTGTCTTTGCCTTTGGTGTCCATGACAGTTTCTTTGTGGAATGTTTTCTTAGTCTTTCCAAATGCTCTCGTCACATTTTCCTCAGAGAAGAAGTGATTCAATTACAAAACCAGAGAGCAAATCTAATCTCACTTAAAACCACAGTTTAAAAAAGCGAAGCCTGTTAGAAAATATCAGACTTCTTTGGTCTTGGAGAAACTGCAATGAGTGCGATGCTGGCAAAAATGTATAAAAACGCAGATGGATGAAAAGCAAAGGTTTGTTTAAAATGCAACAAACATAAATAACACCACATTTAGACAGTGTAGAGTTAAAAGCTGCAGATATAGACTAAGCAGTACCAGTAACAGAAAAAAACACTGCATCGCCATTCTGAAACTCCTAAACAACAGGCAGAAATTACAAATAAATTTCTTTTTTCATTTCATTTTTTCATTCCATGCCCAAGCACACCACCCTGTTCCATTAAAATGAAGACTCAGTGTCTCAAAACCAGCCCAGAAACACTGGGAACTGCTGGAGAAGTGCGTCTAGCTCACAAAAACAGTCCCTACACTTCTTGAGGTAATGCTTATAAATGCAACACAGACTCAACATAAACCTCTAAGATCGACATGATGCTAAAAACTGTCACATCTAAACTGCACGTTACCATAAAAGTGGATAAGCAATGTTACTGAAACAACTCTTGTTGAGTAATAATCACTCAGTCACATAGAACAGAGGGGACTTGAGTCCTCATACTCATTCAAATCCCATTCAGTGTGGAAAATGTTTAAATACATTTCTAAGTGAAATGTAGAAAGTGACACTTCACTGTGATCACAGCTGGATTAAAAGCAATATGATCTATGGATGATTACGAAAGGAACTGTTCAACATGTCGGGAAATAGGCATTGCTTTCTTGCAGAGAGCTGGATGAGAAGATCGCTGTACTCTCACCTCTGCAGAGGCATTTAATAAATTTAGCCCAACTTAGCATAGGGACTGGAAAGAGTCATGTGGGGTCTGTTCAAAAGTAGCTAAATCTTGTTAACAGCAACTCTAAACCTCAACAATTACCAAGTTATGACTCATTTGTTTGTTCTGTTTAATAGTTATAATTTGGACTCCATCCTGAAGAGGGACAGTGTTATAAGCCCCCCGTAAAATAGCAACAGGACATTTTTACACTTTGGCTTTTGTATAACTTAAATGAGATATGACATTTTTATTAATAAATATCAGACAAGCTGGTAGGCAGGATTTGTCACATGTGAACACTTGTTTCCAGTCTTTGTGCTAAGCTAAGCTAACAAGTTGCTAGCTGTAGCTTGACACTTAACAGACAGGGATGAGAGAGTGGCATCGATCTTTTCATGTGTCTCACAGCAAGAAAGCAAATAATGTTCCAAAATGTCAGACCATTACAATAAAGTTATGGCTGCAGTATGGAAATATTCCTAATGACATAACATGGTTCTATTGGTGTCTAGTCAGCATCAATATTAAATTGTAGTGTTTTTTTTGACTCAGACTCTCTTAAACATAAAACTCTGACAATACAGTAAAAGTATTTGTAAATGATCTAATGCAAAAACAGAAATGTCGTGCTGATGTTCTGCCTCACACATCCAGTTCATCCACTTCAGCTCTGTTTCATATTGCTCGGCTAGATACGCCTGCTGCTACATATACAGCCACAGTTTTGTTTGTTTTACTCCATGGAAAACCAAATTGATCAGCATAGTTACTGACTCATTTCATTCACTCGTGCACACTCACGATGTCCCACTAGTATATAAAAACATGTGCAAACTTGTCTAAACAAGACTCGTTTCAACGATTCATCCTATAAAACACAGTCCACACTACAAACAAACTGTCCGTTTAATACGATTCCATCAGAATGCTTCAGATCCATAAAAGGCACTTACTTTGAGGAAAAAAGTAAAACGTGAAATTCAACTAAATTAAATGGTTTCAGTAACATGTTGGAAGGTTCAGGCAGGCCTCTGTAAATTGTATTAAATGATAAACTGTGGGAATTGACAGGAAGTGAAACAATGCAGTGAAAACCTGAGCAATTGAGACCTTAACATCAATCAGAGGAGGTGATGGTGAAATCCCCCCTGTAAGATATCAAAAAGACAATGTATCATCTTTTTTTTGCATTTTGATTAAAAAATAAAATAAGTGACTTTAATAAAATCCTAAAATGCTGAATTAAAAACATCTGGAATGTTTATTGGATGTTGTTAAATAAACCAGAATAAAATGATTTTCTACATATTGGAAGTAACGTGAATCAGTCCCTGGTGAAGCCAAAGTGCATTATGTTGAAGAGTAGGGGACATATTCAAAATAAAACCGGTTTTAATGTGTTACACTGAACAATCAGTTATATGAATTTGAACCCTATTTTCTTATCTTAATGCTCCAACACTTTAAATTCTGTAAAATAAACAATATGCTGTGACACTGCCTATGTGATGTGTGGTAAATAAAAGGTACAGTAGGTCGTACAAAAAGACAAAAAACTTGAGTGGCTGTCTTTTCAGTAACTCCTGCTTCATTTACCTGTAAGTCTTTTCAAAATGAACCAAACATGACCAATACAAAGGACAATGATAAAAGGGTCAAGACTAGGACCTCCCTTTTCCTTTCTCCTCCTCCTCCTTTTTGGCATCTCGAACCAGGCAGCAAGTTGGTGTCTTCACAGACAGTCGTACATGCGCAGGGTGCGCTCCAGTTGCTGGACGACGCGTTGGTAAAAGGCTATCTGCTCCCTGAGGTAGGCCTGCATCATGTCTTTGAAGTCCACCTCTCGCCGCTGATGGAAGTGGCTCATCTCTGCCTGGAGGGCAAACCCGACTGTCCGGCAGCGTTTTCTAATGCCATCGGCTTCGTCTTGGTCCATCTTCCCTTCATCGGTCATCCGCTGGCTCTCCTTTACCTTGGCAAAGGCACCTGGATTAAGATAAAAAGTAACAATACTTTAAAAACTGTAACAGTCTAAACACAAAGTTCCAGTGTAATTTTATAGTTACGGTTTCACAAACTTAGATTAACAGAACACTACAACACAGAAGGCATCCATCCAAACATTTTCTTCCTCTTATCTGTGATCGGGTTGCAGTGGCAACAGCTTTAGCAAGGTAGTCCACACGTCCCTCTCCCTGGCAAAGTTTTCCAACTCCTCTGGTAGAATTCTAGGGTGTTCCCAGGACAAATATACATAATCTCTCCAGCATGTTCTGAGTCTACCGCGGGTCTCCAACCAGTTGGACGTGTCTTCTCAAATGTAAGAATTCAATGCTTTTCTGTGTCAGATATGAATATCTGTGGGATTTGGACTGTTGATCATTTGAAGACACCTTGAGAAAAGCTGCAAGATTTGGTCTTTAAACCCCAGAACAGAACAGAATGTGATAAAAGTTAAATAGAGTCTTAAAAAAACTACTCTTTTATTTTATTGCTCTTTGGTTTGCATCTGTATTACTTTTTTTAAAAACTGCTACAGTGATGTTATGTCAATATCTTCTCTGTGGGTACACGCCACACAGTTATGTTGGTTTCATTGCATACCAAATGTCTAGTTTCAGCATGATGAGAGCACATCGTAACCACATTCACCCAGACTGCCATGACATCATTTTATAAGTAGAGAACATGGCAGCCCAGTGGCACGTCGCCACATTACAGTTTTCATCAGATTAGTGAGCCTGTCTGAATTTCTTTCAACCTGAGCCTGAAGCCAGGAGGCAGGGAGGTTTCGGTCAAACACTGTGCAGATAATCTGTGTAGCAGGTTTGGACAAGCTAGTTGTACTGTCCTTAAAATATATGCTGCAGTGTAATGTCTTATCCATGAACTGTATCTGTCAGTTCATGCTGCCCTGGATTGTGTATGGAATTCCTGGCAGAAATCTGGGAAAGCACTTCCAGTCTGCTCCAGCGAGGAGGCGTGTGGATTCAAGTCTGTGGCGCTGACCTACATTCATGTATTCTGTTTTCCACATGAGAGGAGAATGTGCATCACCAGATAGCATGTCTGTGGGACATAAATGTTAGATCGGCTCAAACACAGGGGTGAGCGAGTCACACAAATATGACAGACCCAGGTGGCTGACTTCAGTGCAAGCAGTGCTATGTTTAATTACAGTGAAATATAACAAGGAAATAAATAATCATGTAGAAGTGGGACTGGGTGTCGAGCTGCAGAAGTGAATACAGTCAGTGGCTGAATGATGAGAAGACCGGGCTGCGGACGCTGGGACTCACTCATGGGCTGGTCGTGGTGGAAAGTACTGAGGAAGAACAGAGTTTGTACATACAGTTAGGAGACTGCATCAACCTGCGTGGTGGAGAAGGAGCCGGGTAGAGGAGGTCCGTGGTCCGGAGAAGCGACAGAGGCGAGGAGGAATGAAACAATGGAGCTAAAGACTGGAACAGAGCTAGGGCGACAAAACGTGAAGATAATATACAGCAAATGAGAACGGGAAACAAACGGGCCTGATAACGCTAGAAAGAACTGGCAGGGGAGTGAACGTAGAGCAGGGAATAAATAGGGAGAACTAATCAGGTGCAGCTGGTGGTAATCAGAGGATAAGAAGCAGGTGTGTCGGATAACGTAATCAAGGTAAGGGAGCAAAAACAGAGTGAGGGGAGTGAGAAGGCAGGTGCAGCCTGGCAAACCTGACAATAAAGGAGAGACGCTCACGGTGTAGAGGCTTTATAATGGGCTTGGGGGGGAGCTAACTCCAGCTCAATGGCCCCCCAATGTGCACAGCATAAAAACAGAATAAATAAATACAAAAAGGTAAAAAGTACAATTAAAGGGGCAACATGGACTAGCTGTTCATGAGTTTAATAGCCTGGGGGAAGAAACTGTCTCTGTGTCTGTCTGTCTTAGTGCACAGTTGCATGAAGAAAGCAAAAAAAGAGCAGAAAACCAATCACTCTAAACCACTATAAGCTTTATGCCCATTTATTTTGAATTAAATGCTCAATGATACATGGCCATTGGTCTGGAAAGTCACCAGATTTGTTTATCTTGCCCAACCAGACCAGCTACCACATGTTTTATGTCCAAAAAAGAGAATCAGACTATTTTACATGTGACAGCTTCATGAGTCTGTGGTGGATAGATTTTAGTACTCCACAGGTGATTAGAAAGGGGTGTGAGGACAGACATAGGACAACACTGTGCAGAGGAAATGAAAACACAACTAAAACCAAACCTTTCTAGCAGGATTCAGCAAGTTAAACTCACGACCTTTACCTTACCACATAGAATGCAGTTTGTGATACCCTGTGTTACCAAACACTGTAAGTCATACAATATGTGTGAGTGTGATACTGAGAGAAAAAGACCGAGGACACTTGAGATTAACTATAAGCACAGCCCTCTGGTGACTGAACTTGGCCATCTGCTAAATGCCTCATTCCCACAGCCTTCCCTGGGCCCAAGGTCACTGCAGGGCGAAAGCAGGAAGTGCACCCCTGCTTCTCTGACTCTGCATCATAATTGTCTGTCCTTGAAGCAAACATGACATTTAAGAGCGAAAGTCCCTCTTTAAGTTACTTGTACTTGTTCACAGCATGTGTAGCTTGGTTGACATGAAACATCCTGATTCTTTGTGTTTTACCAGCTTAGGAATATTGTATCTGTTGATATTTATGCAGAAACCCAGGAAACTGTAAACAGTGCCATTACTTTTTCTTGAGACTGCATGGGCTGAACTGTTTGACAAGAGGTTTTACTGTAATGGCTGTCTAGGGAGCCACATTCATTTATCATTGTAGCTAGTAAGCTTTAAGTTCTTCTGGCAATAATGGCTATATTTCCAAAACAAAGACATTAGACACAGTAACTCTTATTTGTGATGAACTGACTTGATCCCATCATTGCAAATCAAGATGTGATCCTTCAAAGTGTTCCCTTTAGAGGTTAAGATGAATATAGTGATGAAAAACATTTGTGTGGGTGTGAGGAATGAAACAGCACTGAGCTAATGTGTGTAAGCACAGCCACTAGTATGACTTCACTGCTGCAGAGAAAACCACAAAAGACTTCAAGACTTGGAACTGGGCTAAATAGCTCTCCTGCAAAGCAAAAGGACAAAATATTTGGCAGGTCATGACATGTTTTCATATCTAAGATGATGTGCTATGGATCAATGAACCAACTGACTGAAACAGCCATTGCTCATGGTAAATGGTCTTATACTTGTATAGTGCTTTTCTACACACTCAAACAGCTTTCACACTACTTGGCCATTCACCCATTCGCACTCACAAACCGGTGTTATTACCGGGAGCAACTGGGGGTTCACTGTCTTGCTCAAGGACACTTGACATGTTGTCGAGACAAGCCGGAACTCAAACCGCTAATTCTCCGGTTAGGAAACGGCCCACTCTACCTCCTGAGCCACAGCCGCCCAAGACTTGCTTGTGCTGCCGTTACTTTTCTGTGGGAGCACTTCTAATGTCACATCCTCCTAGTCGCATATACAAACAATGACTCAAGCGCCTTTACCTCATGTACCGCCTTCAGATTGTGAGATTGACGCGCTGCTTACTGCACCAACGAGGCTCATGTGCGCTGAAATACTAACACAATCAAAGTTAAAATGCTTTAAGTCTGAAAATCTTAATTTGCTTTAATGTTCAAATAGTGACAAAGAAAACCTGGAGTAATATTCTTTTTGTTTTTACTTCCACATCCCAAATGACTCATCACTTCACTGTAAAATAGACCAGGAAAAAATAATGTGACTAAGATTAGTGGATGTATTCACATTGGCCAGACTAGTAAACAAACACTGAGGACAAATGAAGCTTGTCACCACAAAACAGTGACTGTAAAGGGCTCTGAGTGTGTGTGTGTGTAGGGTCTGACGTCTGTGTCAAGCACCGCAGTGAACTGCTGTGATATGTGTTCTCTGTTATCCTCTCAAAAAGGTGAATGAAAACAGCAAAAACAAAAAGGGCTTCTTAAAATGCTGCATCATATGATCCAAGAGACAGACCTATGTAATCTCTCAGCTGAAGTCTTCAGACACTGTTGCCCCACACAACTACTAGTCAGGGCTAACTGGTGAATTACTGGAGCAGGAGACCTAGAGCTAGCTAACCCACTAGTCAGGAACATGTGAGCACTGGCCTTTTCTCTGGGCTGTGTTGTTTACTTCCCCTGACATTTTGTTCAAAGGGAAGTGATTGTATATCAGTTTGAATAAAGAGATGTTAAAAGGGGGAAATAAAGTTTCACAGATCCAAAAAGGAGAAGCATGCAGAACAGATACAGCATTAAAAACAGAGAGGGGAGTCAGGCTTTGAGAGAAAAAACTCAAGCAGAAAAATATATATATAAAAACAAGGATACACAAATTCAAGAATGTATAACAGGGTCACGAGGACTTTGCCTTATCTGTCAGTGTTGAAAACGGGCCTTAAAAGCCTTGAGGACACACAAACATGAAAAGCCCACTGCTGAGTAAGCTAACACTAACAGTGTTTACAGCAGGCGATCAGATAAAACAGAGCTGGAGCTGATGGCCTGAGCTGGAATGTCCTCACAACCAGTTTCAGACATCTCAAATATCCTCTCTCAGTCTGTTTTCAAGGCTAACTTTCATTCTTTACTTTTTCATTACTTCAGGAGTGAGGAATGTTCAGAACAGAACCACCCTATATAGTTTGCATGGGAAATTAGTTACTAGAAATATTTAATCTAGAGCAACTTCCTCTACAGACTCCACCCTCCTTTGTGCATGACATTTCTGACCGAAACTGCAGCTGTTGCCCTCAAAGAAACACAGTGAATTTCCAAAATCTCCAAAGGTCAAATTGAAGCTCTTAATTAAAACCATGCAAAGAGATGTTCAACAGATGTTGTGAGCGAGGAAAACTCCAAATGTCTATGGCACTGGTCAGTCCTTATGACACTATGGTCACCTCGGTGTG